CTTTCCCTTCCTTGCTCCTTTTTTCTTTCTCTTTTTCGTCAGGCGGGGGAGATGGAGGAGCAGGATCTTTCGCGCCAGGAATTTGGCGCGCGGGATCGAGCGCGATCGGCGATTTGGCGCGAATGGGAGCAATGGCGGACGTCTATTGCACGTATTGTTGCGTACTATATTCGAGGGATGCCCATCAGCCCATCGTCTTATATCGATAGATTTATTATGTAAAAAAATGTCCTTAATATCCTCTATCCTTGATATCCTCTATCGAGAGGAAAAAAACAAGATGTTGATATTAATAATGATCTGTGTGGTTTTTATCACAATGCATGTGTGTATATATATATATGTATATATATGTAAATGTGTGTAGGGTTATGCAAAAGAAAAAAATCGCACATGTATATACACGACGAATGTCGAATAGTTACGAGCCGGTTATAAGCGGTGGAGGACGTTGACCTCGCGATCTCCGATTTACATGTATTTTCGACTACTATCAGGACTTTAATTTCGTCGATGTAGTTGAAATAATTTCAGCCGTTAATCAATACGATATACATCGAATTTATGCGAGCGTGTATTATTGAATTTTATGAACGAGTCTTATGATGGCGGAAGTTATAATGAAATTTCTGCCATTACCCCTCTAACTCGAACATTATTATTATTCAACGTCGGTTGCGATATTATTTATTCGAGAATAATCAAACAATGAATAATTTATTTTATTTATATTTTCTCGATTATACAGCTTCATGAATAATTATCGATTTGTCCAAATGCCTATAATGGAGAATACCACTTCCATTGAACATCTGTCGACATTTTAATTCATACTTTGTAATTAAAGACAGAATGTGTGTATTCGATATCGATCGCGTACAGGATTCTCACCCTTTCGCCTTTTTTTCGTGAAATAGAAAAATAAAGAACGATACACAGGTACGAAAAAAAAAAGACACGAAATACAGAATAACCTACAAATAGTCGAATATATATTTCTATTTAGAACTCCCCACATATCCGATGAAACGCATACATAATACAAAAGCAGAGAAGCCGGATAACTATGGCGCCTAATTAATGATAAACCGTATAACCGTAACAGGGATTTCTCAGGTAGCATTATTAAAGACATATTATTACAAGGTGATATAGAAAAAAATAATGTTGAATAAAGGCAACGAGCTTTTTGACATTGATGGAGAAAAATTTATATAACGCGTTTAATGCAGTATCGATATCGAAGCTATCAGATATTGATAGTTCATGTGCACTTTATACACCCTGTTTACACCTTCCTTGCCACGCGGCGTATCCACATCTCTCCATTCGAGAACAAAAAGTGTGGAAAATGTTTACGACACGTGACGCAAACGGATATGTAATATCGATCCAGTATTTTCCGATTACTTTCGACATGACATAAAAACGAACAAAAAAAAAACAAGATAATTATAGACTTCGTTATTTTCAAGATTGACTGACGTTTCCTGCCGTGACAGTTGGACCTCTCTCTCGAACAGATTGATCGCGACGCGAACAGACTTTTCGGCATGGATTAGTGCCGGTCTACAATAGGCGATTTAAGCCCTAAGCCTTATGACTTAACCTCTAAACTGTGACGTATTTCCGGCCTTAAACATTTTTCGCGCTGCCTTAAGCCCTAAGCGAGTTGGCCAACTCCCATCTTTTAAAGCTTAGAGCTTGAGGCTAGGATCGATGTAATTTTTCTCTTAAAACAAAGGCTAAATCTTAAATCACCTATTGTAGACCGGCACTTATGCATCACGCTGCAAATTACTTATGCAATGATACCAACACATTTCCCTCCCATTTCCAAGAATATCCCTGAAAGATTCCGAAAGTTTGATCGGCTTGTGATTCCGGGGCAGCACTGTGGGTCAATTCTCCCCCACTCAATTTCCTTTCCTTCTTGTATCCAACGCCGGCCAATAGCAATTCACTTCTCGAGCATTTACAGTGCGTTTCTCGTATGGCAGCCATGTTTTAAGGACGCGTTTACCAACCATCGCGTTTTCCCCCCTTCGCGTCAAAATAACATTTTCTAATATCTTCTTATATTTTCGACATCGTGAAATCGCGCGAGTGGCGATAAAATTTCGTTCGTATTTCTATATCGGATGTACGATACATCCTGTCATATATATAGTGACACGTGTTTTCGTTGAGATAAACTTGCGCCCGACAAACAAGCACAGCCAACTTCAGAGGCGTGTCATGTTTGCGCTTAGCGCGTTACTTCCCCATCGCTTTCGTCGAGTTTCGTCGTCGAAAATCTATGAGAGATGCTGTCGTTAGGCCCGAAAAAGGACGGCGGACCCAACGCCAAATTCTTCGAGGCACAGGAAGTTCTTACCCAGCTTGACGGTGTCAAACAGTGGCTTCTCAAGAATTGCAAGAAGGTACGTTCGTTTCATGCGAACATGGACCCGGCGTCAGAAACTCGTCGCGGCTTTGCCTTTTTCTCTCTCTCTCTCTCTTTTTTTCTCGGCACACGCTTTCTCGTCGATCGCGATTTTTGTATTAATCGATGCGTGTATCTGAAATGTGAGTTTCTTCAAAGAATCTCGCGAGAATTTTCACAATGCGCCGATATAATTGTACAGTTTTAATACATATGCGAGAGTCATCTCGATGACTCTGTAATTATCGTCATGGAATTAATTGACCGTTAATTTATCGCTTATCTCCCATTTTATATGGGTATAAAAAGTAAATTGACGTAATGTTAACGAGAGAATCAGATTATTGTTATAAAAGCTAATTGGAGTAACATGAAACGACATTTTTGTTAACCTGTATTAGCTGCGAGCAAAGTTGATGTTTGATTCTTCTTTTATAATTTTGTGCAATACTCATTAAAAAAAATTTTTGTTCTCCATAGTATGTGCAAACGGATCCGCCCACTAATAAGAGTTTAGCCACATTGGTGGTACAGCTTCTGCAATTCCAGGAAGATAATTTAGGGAAAAATGTATCAAAGCCACCTATGACTAGGCTTCCAGTATGTGAAATATTATATATTTATATAATAAAAGTAATATTCTGCGTGTTATACATATTCTTAAATTGAGATAATTTAATTTTTGCAGATGAAATGTTTCTTAGATTTTAAACCTGGTGGTGGCGTGTGTCATATATTAGCTACCGCATATCGTTTCAAACAGGAGCAAGGATGGCGGCGATTCGATTTTCCTGGTGGAAAAGTAATTTTTCTTTACATTTTTTTTTCTGAATATACTCTTTTTAACAATTATTCTCTCCTGAAATTTTTTGATTACTGTTTTTTATATAAGAATTTAACAAATAAATAGAATTTGAAAATATATAAAGTAATTAAAAAACTGTTATTACAGTCTGGATCACGCATGGACCGTACAGTAGATATGCTGATGGCAGCGGAACGTGTCTTGATACAGAATAGATGTATGACTGTACCAAATGTTTATGTGAGACCGGATGTTGATAAGAACACAGCTGTGAAAGTCAAGGAAGTAGTTAGAAAGCATCAGGGAACCGTCGTTGAAAATGAAGCAGATGCTACACATATTATTTATCCTCCAGTGGATCCAATGGAAGAAGAATATGCACGTCCTTGTATGAGACGCGAGAGATCGGTTCTAATTCATTGGTACTATTTTCCAGACAGTTATGATTCATGGTCAACACTAGATCTTCCATGGGATTATCCTGAAGGAACTTATACAAATACAAATTCAAGGTACTAGACATTTGATAATCTTTTAATATAAATTGATAAAAAAATAATTATTTAAAAACTGAAAAATTACAATTATTTTAATATTGCTAGTAAAATGTATTTTTATTTATGTATCGTTTAATTTACATATTGTTAAATAAAGAGATTTTGTAAATTGTTCTCTATAGATCAGTGTACAAAGTATCGGCTACATGGGCTCTAGACTTGGATCAATATAACGAGTGGATGAATGAGGAAGATTACGAGGTGGATGACAATGGTCAGAAGAGAGTACACAAGTACAGACTTTCCGTGGAAGATTTGATGGCGCAGCCGTCTCATCCGCCACCTGCAAAGAAACCTAAGAGAAAACGATCGCCTAGCCCACCTCCGAAGCTCGGAAAACGTAAAAGGTATGAAAACTTTTGATAACAAATTCGAATCTTGAAAAGAATTTTTTCTCACTTTCGATTTTCTACATTGTTGCTTACAGTAGCAGAGCACCATCGGGTATACAAAGTGCGTCCGCATCATCGGCAACAGCTCCGAAGAAATCACGCGGCGGCGAGGAAGAGGAAGATCTAACTCAGGGAATGGAGGATCCGCCCGCCGAGCCTCGCATCGTCGAAGTAGTTGCTACACCCACGAATCTACCAATTACAGGCCAGGGTAACTCAACAACAGGAAATTCTACTTTGGCATCTACTGGTAGTAAAAAGCAAGATAGTGAGCTTCAACCTCTCAAATCCGGAAATTTGACCGACCTCGATGAACAAATGGAAGGTATGTAAAAAAATCTTGATAATTAAATCCAAGTTTGTAATTTGATGTTGTAATTTAACATTATATGCTAATCTATTATAATGTTGACAATATGTCAAATTAATAATTCACGGAGAAATATTTTCGAGTTATTTGTTAATTTAACAAACTCTGAATTAAAAGCTATTAATATCACATAGGGGACAAAGGTAGTTCTCAAGGCGGCCAAGACAGAGAAGAGAGAGATACTAGTAAAGAAAGGGGTGAAGGTGGAAAAGGCGATGAACCAGAAGATAATGTGACAGAGCAAACGCATCACATTGTTGTTCCTAGCTACTCTGCCTGGTTTGATTATAACTCGATTCATACTATCGAGAAGAGAGCTCTATCGGAATTTTTCAATGGTAAAAACAAATCCAAAACTCCAGAAATCTATCTTGCATATAGGAATTTTATGATTGATACCTATCGACTAAATCCGACGGAATATATTACATCGACCGCTTGCAGGTGACGTATATCAACATATATATATCTAATTTACTTCAATATAATATTATAATGTAATATATCAATCGTTTTATAGTTTTACCGGTAAATAAAAAAAAAAACGGTTTCCTCTCTTTACATATGTATGTATTTTTACAGACGAAATTTGGCCGGTGATGTATGCGCGATTATGCGTGTGCACGCGTTCTTGGAGCAATGGGGACTCATCAATTATCAAGTAGACGCAGAATCCAGACCGACGCCCATGGGACCTCCACCAACGTCGCATTTCCATGTTCTGTCAGATACGCCGTCCGGTTTAGCTCCAGTCAATCCAAATCCACCGAAAACGCCACAGCCGTCCGCCGCGAAGATGTTGCTCGATTTGGAGAAAAAACCCGTGATCGGGGCGGTACCGGAGGAGAAAGTTGCAGCGGGCGCAATGGCGAATTTTGGTCTGAAGATCGACCAGTATTCGAGAAAACCGGCAGTTCTGAAGAATAAGCAAGCAGCAGGCGCTACCCGCGATTGGACAGAGCAAGAGACGCTCCTGTTGTTAGAGGGATTGGAACTACACAAGGACGATTGGAACAAAGTATGCGAACACGTGGGCTCGAGAACACAGGACGAGTGTATCTTGCACTTCTTACGTTTACCTATAGAGGATCCGTATCTGGAGGAAGGTGGACCTGAAGGATTGGGACCTCTGGCTTATCAACCGGTACCCTTTTCGAAAGCTGGTAACCCTGTCATGAGCACGGTCGCTTTTCTTGCATCGGTCGTTGATCCTAGGGTAGCAGCAAGCGCAGCAAAGGCCGCCATGGAAGAGTTTGCGGCGATAAAGGACCAAGTACCAGCTGCGTTGTTGGATCAACATTTAAGAAACGTTCAAGCAAGCGCTAACTCGGACGGTAATTTTATTTTATTTTTATATCATATCTAAATTTGCTCTAGTGGTTTATTCTTTAAGAAAATGTAAATAATAGTTTCGTCTAATATATATGTATAATGAGTAAATATATTATTTTTTATATATTTTTAAATAGGTAAATTTGATCCAGCGGCGGGCTTGGCACAATCAGGCATCGCCGGTACAGGACCACCCGAACCGCCTGACGACACAACTGCATCTGCCGCGACTCCCACGACGGGCGCAGCTAGTTCGCCTCATTCCGCAGTGCCAACTCCCGAAGCAAAAAAAGAGGAATCAGAGAAATCTAAAGATGCAATGGACGTCGAACAATCTCAGGTGGACGTTACGAAGAAGGAAGATGAATCGAAAGAGGGTGAAGAAGACGCAAAGTCCACCATCGATCCAGAGGCTGCGGAAGCGAAGGAAAAGAAGGATAAGGTAAAATATCACGGCGGCTTGAAAAAAATTGATTTACTCATATTTTATAAAAAATGTTAAAATTTTTAGATAATTAGACGGTCGCATGTTAAACTTAATTTTTGGCACAGGTTGTAAGGGATGCTCAGCTTCAATCCGCGGCGGCAGCAGCGCTAGCGGCCGCAGCTGTTAAAGCTAAACATTTGGCAGCTGTGGAGGAACGCAAGATAAAATCACTGGTTGCGTTACTAGTTGAGACACAGATGAAGAAGCTGGAGATCAAATTACGTCATTTCGAGGAATTGGAAACTACAATGGAGCGCGAGCGCGAGGGTCTTGAGTATCAGCGGCAACAGCTCATCACCGAGCGGCAACAGTTCCATTTGGAGCAGTTGAAGGCGGCCGAATTCAGGGCGCGACAGCAGGCTCACCAGCGATTGGCTCAGGAGCAACAACAGCAGCAGCAACAACAGAATCAACAACATCCACCCTGGCAACCGCCCGGCGCGCAACAGCAGCAACAACAACCGCCGAGTCCGCAGGCTCAGACTCAACAACAACCGCCACCGCATACACCGCCGCAACAGACATAACTCTTTCGTGAGTCTTAAATTTTTGAATAATTAATCGCTTATAAATGCTGTTGTGATCATACTTTTGCAGAAAAATCGACACATTATTTAATTTCTACAGCGTTATTTTTCAATTCTTGTTTCTCCATTCTTAGTCAGTGATGGTTACTTGTCTCTGAACCACAGATTGCTTCCATAATCTTATGCTATATCTATATGCAGAACGGTTTCATATCCTTACAAAAACTTCGTGTGTTTCAAGATAGAAATAGATATATAATTCACAAAAATATATTTTCCATATTTTAGGATTTCTATTATATAGACACATATACATATATTAGATCACATGATGAGAAATTATTTCTCTTCATTCTTTCTTCATTGTGTACATGCACGTATACATATACTTTGAATCTTATATACCACTTTGTACTACTCTTCTGAGATTATGCATCATAAGAGTGATGCATTTTATAAAAATAATGTTAGACATACACATGTATAATATACAGTAATACATGTATAATATACAGTAATACATATTATTCCATATATATTGTTACCGAGGATAATACGATGTTCTGATCTACAAAGCCTCATTGTCTATTAATTCCAATACTAAGTCAGTCATGAGTTGAGCACAGTCGGCGCCTCCGGGTGGTGGTGCTTCTATCGTGATATGTTTCTCCTCGCTACTAGTTTCCACACTACTACTCGTCTCGTACAAATTTGGCGCTTCGTGACTGGCGCACGTACTAATTGGCAAAATGTCCAATGCTAATCCCAATCCGAATCGTCCGCATCTTCGCATCTCTTCGTTCAATCTGAAATGAATAATTAATATTGAAGAGTTTATTATTAAAATATTGCTTTAAGTTTATATTAAAAATGATAATTATTGGAAATAGCTTTTTATGTAGCATATCTATTTTTTTATATGAGTTTAAGATGATTTGGAAAAATAAGATGGACGAGCCAAATTATTTATAAATGTGTAAGAGTAGCGAATTGCATGACTACAGTTGTTCCTTTTAGGACTCGACAACTTTTTACTTACAATTTCCATATGACAGATGGATCTTTTGGTGGCTGTTCCGGATTGAGGACACACAAGGAAGACATCAGATGGGAATGATAATGCTGGAGAAGCTGTGTCATGTAAGCCCGCCTAACAACACCACTTGTGCAGCAGTATAGCAAGTTCGCAAGATCAAGAGCGAGGGAGCCAACCCGCGTCAGTTGAAAGTCGACAAGATAAACGGCCTGCAGAAGCACAGTATTAAAAGTTAAGTCTAGGAGGTTTCGCGGTGAGGCGCACCTCGCACTCTCGTGCCAGCCAACGTTCTATCAGAGTCTTGAATATGATTTATAGATTACGATCTATAACGCGGGATAAATATCCTTGCAACGTATATCGTAGTCCATTTTTTATGAGATAATTGAAATCGATGTCTGAAATTATTTATAAATTAACGTAAATGAAGAAACTAAGTAGTTGAAAATAAACTAAATAGGGAAGGGGGATGATTAAAAACTAAAACGAGTGTAAAATGTACATTATACATTTTTTTCTTGACTTTTTCATACTTTTGGACATGATGTAATTTTATGTTATACTTTTCTGAAAGTTGTCGGGATTTATCTTAATTAATTGTAATTGTACATAATGCAAGAATCTTTTCTTTGCGCTCGCGGCTACACGGATCTAGGTGTGACCAATTTCGCTAAACTGGAGTCTTTTTAGATCATAAATGAAAAGAAGCATTTGAATCATATATATAAGAATCTTATAAATTTATATAATAAAAGTGTATGGAACAAAATGATTTTTTCGTCTCGTTATCTCGCACAAAGATAGGATCTGTAAAAACAAAATATCGTTTCTCTCGATGAATTATCTTTCATTGAATATATGTAATCTTTCATCGTAGATACGTCAAGGGTGCAATATGCTGTGCGTGCACACTTTTCGCATTTTCGTAATAAAATAAAAAATTCACCTCTGTATCTGAGCTTGGTTCATCCTGAAAGAGGATATTATTGGTCCAACAATCGCCGTGACAAAACACGGAGAGAGATCCTTGCGTGGAAACGAGTTCGCTCATAGTGCGAAAAAATACGTCTTCGTTTAGGAAAGCATGCAGCTTGGTCATTATCTCCTCTCTTCTGTGATCCATGTGCAAAGGTAGTGCTTCGGACACCATTTTAATAGCGTTATTCACGGCCACGCGGTAATACTGTCGATACCAATCTTCATTGTCTTGTCGAAATAATGTTTCACGTATACCTTCATCATGTTCCGGATTTGTTAATTTCGCGAATTCCTCTGGCCTTCAAAGAGTAATGTATCTTTTTGCATTAAAATTAGTATATGAGGACAACGAGACAAAACAACTCGCGCTTATTAATGAAAAAAGAAGTAATCCCTTTTTATTAATATATTTTTACATTATATTGATATCTTTAATTGTAGCACTTGATTCTCAAACATATTTATTCTATCTCTTCGAAAAGCTGATTAACTATTTCATATTATTTGCTAATTTATTATTATTATTATTGATTTTAACATATAATTCCGGAAATCTCAGGCATACTTACTTGGATTCCTTTAGCGTTAAGCTGAGCGCGTGAAATCCCGCTAGAGCCTTTAATACGTATTTCAAATTTTCCATCTCCAACCCCTTTCGTCTATCTACCATATTGAAGCCTCTCTCCCTCAAATCCTCCATAGCAATAAGATCGGCTCTAGCGGCGTATATTTTGGGTACCCCGCTGAACACCCGTCTATCGTTTGATTGGAGCTTGTTCAACGCAGGCCACACATGCTTGTAGAAAACGACCTCGTTTCTGAATAATAATTCGCTCTTGAACGCTTCGCGATGTTTCTTGGATTCCGGCAGAATCTTGTAAATGATAGCGCACTCGTAATTAATCCATTCTTCCTTTTTCAACAGCTTACGCCCCTTCGCCCGAATCCGATATAATATCGAAGTATAATTGTCTCCTCTTCCCGATCCTGGTTCTTCGTTTAAACCATAAATCTCCACGTCGGGATCGATATTTTTGATAATTAATTCGCGCACATCATCGAGCGTGAGTTTATTGCTACCGTCGCCGCCGCTATCCATTATTCTGACAGAGATATGTTGGAAATTTCAATCTCTACGACAATAATCCCGACGATACCTTTTCGATTTTTCCGGATAGATCTAACTTTAACATTCTACACTTTACAGCGGACCGAAGAGCTGTGCCGTCTCACGCAGGAAATGAGTATTTGAGCGGCTGGAGGGCTGCCACCTCCCACTATAACCGACTTAATTTATTAATGATTTACGCCCCAACTCTTAAGAGGCAAGGACATTGATACATGTCAATCATACGCCTGGTCGTTTAAAAAGATTCCCCGCTTAATTCTTCAAAGCACGACGCGGTACGGAATAATGATAATACAAAAAGTTCTCTGTCAAGCAAGTTTCTTTTCTCCAGGGTGATACATACATATTACAGTTTCATATAAAGAATATTTATAATATATATAAATATTCTTAAAAACAGTTTTATATATTTGCGTTAAGTAATAGTGGATCGATTCAAAGAATCATAGTAATTACGTTGAAAAAAAAAAATGATATATATTTTCATATATCTTAGTAAGATATATTTATATCATGGTGATATTTTCTTATGTTATAATTTTTGATCTCTGAAATGTTTCTGCATTCATTTCTATACACTGTGCTATCGTCATACTAACTATACAAAATTGCAATCAAGGACCAAATGTATACTTTGTGCTTCATTTAATTCTCATCGGACAGCTGTAATTCGAGAATGTCGTTACCCACTAAGCTAATTAATATGTTTTTCTGAACGGGCGTAAGGGGTACAGTTTCTTGCAACTTTCTAGCCATTTCTGCGGATCCTTCTAGATCGTTAGAAATAACATATTCTAGGAGATTCTGGAAGTATAAATGCAACGACGTTAATATAATATAAATCGGTTAATAACTAAATAAAAAGAGAATATACACTTACGAAAATTGCCGGAACATGCGCTTGCGCTAAACACAGCTCGAATATTTCGCGTACATAATCCGCCATAATGGTACCGATTATCAAATGCGGCGATTCAATTAACAATGACAAAACTTCCATCGCTTTGTCGAAATTATCTCCTCGTAGAAGTAGTATTATGATATTGCCCACTATTGTATTAGACATCGTAATATGCTGTATTCTTTTAGTATTTTGAACCTGTATTGATAAGAAATGACATTATTTCAACATATCTTATTATAAAGACACAATCTATATAATTTGCAAATGTAATTTTAATTATTGTATCTTTTTTGTTTTTCGACTATCTATTTCTTTACAACTAAGCCTCAAATTAAAATTCTATTAAGATGAAAGTTACTTGAAATTGATTGAGAGACGCAATAATTTTATTATAATTCGAAAGGTATTAATGTCTCGACATTCTCGCTAAAGAAAAATTAATCACAAAATAGTCCAAAAATCTGTTATTAATGCGGATTGTGGAGGACATCCTGTATAATTAACAATAACTTCAATTACTTGTATATGATCCCAGATAGTGAGTGCGATCTCCGCGAATTGCGCGTTCAGCGGCGAATCGGGCACGGGTTTACAATGTACGCTCATCAAGTGCAATATATTCTCCAATAAACCTTCCCTGTCCAAATGACCGAACGTGACCATGTGCGACCAGAGTTTTGGTATATATTGCGTGGCAGTCTCCGCGGGATATAATTGAACAGCTTCTAATATAGCCTTCATCACGGCGGGTTCCGGTATAGTCACGTGTGGTACGAGCTTGCTATAGATTTTGAAAAACGTTTCAAATTCTTCCGTCGCCAATATTAATTCTATATACGCTCGGTAGTATAAATTTTCCTGAGAAACAAGAAAATAATAGTTATAATAAATGTGCATATAATATAAAGTATACATTACATACATAGAATCAAATATAAATTCTATCCAAATAATGCTATTAAAAGAATTTATCAAACTAAAAAATTTTTTTGAAGAGTTTGATATATATATATAAATACATATAATTATAATATATAAATTTTTATGTTATGTAATGTGTTCTGGATACACCCAGATATTCTGAAGAAACTATTTATTGTGCGGATTTATTTCAGAATACTTACTTTGTAGCTGTCGCCGATGAATTTGTAATTTTCACCAGAGAGAAGAAGCTCGTTGACCATTTCGCCCACTTGACGTTCGCAAAATTGTTTGGAAGCCATTTCCATCGCAGCAACGAAGAAATTTAAGTCTCTTACATCTTGGATCGCAAGAGTCTCCTCCTTCAAAGACTTCAAGATTTTCGTAAAAGTCTTGTAGGCCGCATCACCTGTCTCATCGAATAAATTTGTAAGCTGTCGATCGACACGTGAAATCGTTTCGCAAAATAAAAATATGCGTTGCATAGTTACCGAATTTACTTAAAATTCGCAGCGCATAATAATATGTAGTTAATGACGGCTTTAATTTGAAATTTGCGATATCGGCGAATACGTTGCGTGTTAAATCGAGAACTACTCGTTTGTTTCTGAACGTAAACGCTGTGTTAAGAACAGCGTTAAACGTATGTATATTCGGAGTGATCCCGTTTGTGGCCATTGCTTTATATATATCTGCTATCAGTGCTCTTGCTTTATCCTCTCCTTCTCTTAACATTGGTACCATCGATATTATACCATTATATGCATTGATAGATAATGGTATATTATTTTCCTGACATTCCATATACATGTACCAAACCTTATCCGCCTAAACAGACAAAAATCTTTTCAATAAGTCTATATATACAATACATCATCTCTATAATTCAAATATATGTTAATTTTAATTAAGTTGCTTTTATGATCTAAGATAATCATAATTATGATCGATTTAAAATGAACTAGATATCTTACATTGAAATATTTAGCAAAACCACATATCATTGCATTGTACGCAGCAGCTGCTATTGTAGGTTCTTGTTCCTTTAAAAATTTGAATAATATATCGATTTCTGGATGATTTCTGCAAAAATCACGATAAAACACAAAAATATTATTTAAAGCCAACACACACATATCTATATATCTATTGATATATATTTGGAAAGGATAATGTTTATATATTTAATTTCCTTAAACTCACATCCACGTGTTCTTGATGCGTTTTTCGCTAAGTTGAAACCAATGACTCTCCAGTAATTCCGTGTTGGTAGCTTCACTGTGATTGTAAAAACACAACAATTCCAGAAGAGCTTGCTTTGTCGGTACTGTCAGTTCGCCTTGTAGTAAATTGTATATCAGAATAGAATTGGAAACATGACCGTTTGATATCTCATATAATAATGTTTCCTCCGTTACTTTACTCTCTTCTGTATAAATGGGAGGCGGCACAAACGCCTATACACAGCATGTTTTACCATTGTATGAACTCAATATTGTATTTGTTGGTATAAGTAAATGTAGAATATTATAAAAATTGACAGATTATAAATGTTCGAATAATGGAATCATTTTTAACATATTACCTTGATTTCAGGATCTGCTACTTTGTGTTGGAACAAGTCACGATGTTCATCCCGAACCCACATTGCAGCTTTCTTTCCAGACTCTTTTGATAAAGCAAAATTGCGAATCTGCGCTTTTGACAGCGGCGTCAAGTAAGGATCGTCATGAAATTTATAATGTGGCGCTGTATAATCCCTGGATATTGTACTTTCAAGAGCCTACAAAATAAATCATATTACATATTTATGGAAACACTATTGTATAAGTAAATTTACTTTTATAATTTTAAAAACAAAATAAGATATAGTAATTTTATTTACTTTTAGAATATCTGTTGGACCACGTTCTATCCTGTTTGGAATATAAATATCCGAGGATGAGGATGATGAAGTAGTTGTTGATTGCAGCCGTATTATCAGCTCCTGATATAATTTCCTGCAAATATTTAAAGTATGAATAAAAATTATTTCTACACATTCGTAAATATTTTAACAGAATTATTTTAGAAACAAATATATGTTCTTGAACATATCAATATTTGATTGAATTAAATAATACTCATCATGCGAGCTAATCTAAATTAACAAATCTATTTTGTTTCAAAAATAATAAATTAGTGTTTGTCGTGCTATCGGTTTGATAAATGACACCCGAATAAAGTATAGTGATTTTATTCGAAAAATATAATTTATGTATATGAACTGAATGAATTATAACTTGTTACATACCTACGTGAAATTCTCGCTAAAGAATTCATCGTGCGAGCTTTTTTTAAATAAGAAAATTTAATTCGTTCTAAGTTTTTTGCCTTCACTTAACCTCTTTACAACAGAAAGTTTGGAGGTTAAATCAAGCTTGGTTAGAATTTAATACTGCGTGAAGTGCGGAGAATTATACGGTGCAGTCCATTTGGAAGCATTCGTAATGACAAGTGGACTGCATTCATAATTATGTTATGGCGACGAGTAACGGATATACAACGGACGTACAACTTGCACAGGGATGGATACAATATTTTATATATTTCATTAATGCCACAAACATGCATTTTCGTTATAATTAGGTATTGGTAAAAAATTAATCGATAACATTTATATAAATTTGTTGGTTGAAATTTCAAGTTGGTGTATATGTATATACACGACAGTTCGTACAAATCGATAAACGATGATTTGGCAACCGTTAGAACAATTTGTCTTACTAATATCGCTTGGTAAGCAGTCTTTTTAACACATATAGTTTATTTATTCGTGTAAGAAATGAAAGTGGCGAATATTTTACAGGTATACATCGATATCCTTTTTTAAACAATAGAAATCGTTAAGGATTTAAATATTACAAATGAATTAAGTAAATAACGGCGGGCTAATAAGAACATAAAGCAAAGTCATAAACACAAAAATTAAAATAAAGATTATTATAGGAAATCAATCGAGATGAATTTATTAGACGATATACTTTGATCCCAGCACTTCGGATCATTCAATAATTGGATGAATACGAGCAATAAATTTTATATCATGTAGTCATAGCATACGTTGAATAGATTGTACAATTCAACGTATGCTATGACCATATAATACAATTTACTGCTTGTATATTTATCCAATTACTCTTATTTTTGCGTTCATGACTTTGCATTGGGCTCTTTTATTAGCTCTTTTTTAAAATGTTAAAAAATAAAAAAGAAATGTATGAAAAAAAATTGTATTATAATGGCATTATAATGAATCGACTAAATTTTGCCTAATTCTCTGGTATTTAATTTTATTTCTTAGAAGAGCTAGTTTTCATTATTACGAAGAAAAATCTTCTCATGACAACAAATTTCAATTCTAATATATCGTATAGAATAATATTCACTATATATATGATTGAATTTTAGAATCGATGCGTCAGACATTCCCACTTCTCTATGAATCGATTGCACTCCGCGATGTTAATTTCACCTGGCCTGATACATTTACACAAGTCCGCCTTGATACGAATCATCCGGCCAATTTATATCAACCTCTTGTAGAGCAATACTGGGACATCTGGTTGGTTGCCTATCTCCAAGCTATACTTCATATAAAGTACGTAACGAAAATATGTATATCGCGCGTAATGTATATAAAGTGTCCCTGATAGAGAGAATCTCGATCAATTTGAAATCGATTTTTCGAACGATCAATAAAATCGTTGAGGCACTTACAATTTTCGAATAATTAACAGTAAAATTATATGTTAATGGTGAAAAAAATTACTAAATTATATTCTCTATATAATATAGAGTACAACTCTGCCCCACGATTGTACACACACACACACACACACATATATATATATATATATA